GCGCTGCGGTCCCGGGGCTCCGCGCCCTGCTGCCGGCGCGCGCCTTCCTCTGCTCGCTCAAAGGCCGCCTCCTGCTGGCGGAGTCGGTGAGTGCAGCGGGGACCCTGCCCGCGACCCTGCCGAGGCCGCCCGGATCCCCGCCCGTCAGCCTCCGCGCCCCGCCGGGCTGCGACCGCCCGGCTCCTCTCGGAGGCTGACGTCGAGGTGGCGGGGGAACGGATGTCGCGCTCCATCCCCATCTGGGCGCCCCACTCGCGCCTCCCCTTGAAAGCCCCCGAAGTTGGACGGACGCCCKCGAGTTTTGGAAGGCTTCACTGAACCCGAAGCCGAGTCGGCAGCGAGGCGGGTCCCGAACCCAGGCCTCCCCGAGTTCCTCAACCCGCGAAGCCCAAGTTGGGGGCCAGAGGACGCGGTGTGGGGGACCCTGGTGAGGAGTTTGTCCCCGCGGGCGCAGCGGCGCGGGCCTGGCGCTGTGCGGTTTCGGGCGCCTCCACCCTCTCTGGGCCCTCGGGAACCCCGCTTGGCAGCGTGCAGAAAGGATCTGGCTGCTGGACCTTCAGGACTCGCGGCCGTGGGGGAGGGTCTGCTTTCCGCCTGGGCCTCGAGCTGGGGCCGGAGGCTGGGAGGGGGCCGCGTTGAGTGGGAAGACCCGGCCCCGGGACTGGGTGAGGCCTGGATTTCGCACTGGGGGCGCGGGTAGCCCCAGCGGCTCAGGGTGKGGGGCGGGAGCCAGCGGGGTGACTTCATCTCCCCCCTCCCGGCCCTGGCTAGGCTCCTTCCTCCTTCCCGCAGATCCCCACCCCTCTGTCCCCACCCCRCCCGGCAGGGCTTCTTTGTCCCTCCGACACTCCTGATAACTCCCACACTGTCGCGTGTGGGGCGGGGACTGGCGAGGGGCCTCCGGGAGGGGGGAGGAGGAAGAGGCCGGGCAGATGGGAGACCAGAGGAGGGACTCTGCAACTTGACAATACCTGTTTTCATTCCCACTTGTGGATTTGGGGAGAGAATGCTAGCAGAAGCAGTTAGCGGCTTCAGCAGGTGGCTTGGTTGAGGGGCCAAGTTATAGGAGGAGTGTGGGGATTGAGGAAATATTCTGCCCCAGGACCTTTCCCTGGAACCCCATGGCAGAGGGCAAGAGGTGGTTCTACAGCCTTTTCTGACTTGGAGGCAGTGCAGGGGTCAGCAGCCCAGCACCTACTTAGCTCCCAAGTGAGGCGACAGGCAGACCCAGGGACTACACTCCCAGGGACAGCCTCCAGGTTGGCCACCTCTACCTGCCCCCTCACCTCTGGATCTCCAGCCCCACCCCACCAGCACAGCCTCCTGGGTAGGGGGTAGGATTGCCAGCCAGGCACACAGGCCCTTTGGCCTAACTGAGTGCAAGAATGCAGGAGGAGGAGGAAGAGAAAGGGARGAGGAAGGAAGGGTAGGGGTGGGTACTCAGGATACAAGGGAGATCTTCCTAGTCACTCCTTCCCCCTGGTCACCTTCCTCTCACCCCTAGGCCCAAGCAAGTGGGAAGGSTGGACAAGGAGCGGGAGGGAAGAAAGTGGCCACCAAAAATGAGGGAATAATAAAATGGGAATCAAGGTGGGTTCCCCAGAATCCAGTTTGAGGGGGCATGGGAGGCTGGAAAGGGAGGAACCAAGAAAGCCTTTGGCTGGGGAAATAGGAGCTGTGGACAGGGCCACGCAGAGCCTTGCCTTCCTGGCAGAACCTGGCAGCTTCAGCGCCCCTCTGCCTTCGTTTCCAATCTGTCCAAGATGGCAGTGGGCCCCTGGGGAGGCTTAGCTACCCTCATGGCCCTGTTCAGGGCAGACCAGAGTGCCCTGGGGACTCCCTGGAGTTCCTGCAGCTCATTTGTTTGAAACAGCCACAGTGCTTCCTGTGGGGCATCTGATGTCCTTGTAGGCCTCCATGCAGCCAACCCCTGAGCCCCAYTTCAAGCTAGTCAGCCATGGACACTCTCAAATCCAACCACAGTGACAGAAACCAGGGTAGATGAAGGCCTCCAGGGCCCACAGATCAACAAGCCCTGGTTCAAATTCTGGTGCCTCTTATTAGCTGTGTGTCAGAGTCTGCTCATCTATGAATAAGGGCTGTGAACAGCGCCTGGCCAGTGAGTATCAGAGGAGATACCCATGAGTCTCAGCAGGCACTGGGAACAGAGGAACCACTGRCCCATCCAACAGCCCCCTGTTCTTGGTCTGCCCTGCACTGCCCACCATCTGCAGGGCTAGCGGGGCCTCAGCATCCTCTACACATACAGCCTTTTGGGCAAAGCTGCAGTGAACATTTTGAATCTTATGTTCGAGTACAGCTAGCTCCACCTTTCATAAAGGCTGGCTGTATGCAGGCTACAGCAGGGCCCAGGTGTCAGGGCCAACATACCTTCCCTGGGTAGTTTTTTCCTTCTTATTAAGAAAATTTTATGTGACTACATAAAAGAGCTGAAAGATTTATATTATTCATCTCATGCATCCACCACCTRGATTGTATAGTGGTTAATACTTCGCTATATCTGCTTTGTCACCTATCTCCAACCCATTTTTATGTTTTGATGCAAACTAAATTGCAAACCTCAGTACATTTCAACTGTAAACACTTCAGCATGCATATCATTAACAGATCAAGATTTGTTTTTTGTTTTTCAGATAAAATTTATATTCAGCAAAAAGTTCATATCATGGGGGTTGGATGTTACTTTTTTGAAACTGGTTGCTATTTAGTTTTGGTTTGCCCCTGCTAGGCACCATTTGCATTGGGTGGATTCTGTCAGAAAGCCAGTAAGGGGAAGGGTAAGCAGCTCCAGGAAGTGGCCTCCTGGGGGGCTGGATGCACATGGGAGGGTGGGGCTTCAAGATTGGGTGCTGGCAAAGGCCAAGGCTCAGCATCATGCCCAGAAGGACTGAGGCTGCCTGGGTGTGGGCCTGGGCTTCATGAGGGCTTTCATCCTAGCTCTGCCATTTCTAGCTACAGGACTGAGATATTCTGGACTGCAGGGCCTGGACCAGGCAAGAAGAGRCTCTGACTGTGCCCTACTTCCCTACAGGGTCTTTCCTTTATCACCTTCATCTGCTATGTGGTATCCTCAGCGTCTGCCTTCCTCACAGTGCCTCTGCTGGAGTTTCTGCTGGCCCTCTACTTCCTCTTTGCTGATGCCATGCAGCTGAACGATAAGTGGCAGGGCTTGTGCTGGCCCATGATGG